GCCATTTGATAAGATAAAATAAAGGATATAAAATAAAATATAAAAATAAAAATAAATGAAAAAAAGAAATAAAATATAATAAAATAATATAGGATAAATGTGCATCTCACATGGCGTGAAGCTATTAAATCTCGCATGAAAGTATAAATCCCGATTTAATTGGCCGTGAGAGTCTAATGCATAATTTTTATGCAAAGCGAGATGTAAATGCATCACATTTCCTAAGATGAAATAAAATTATGCTGTATTGCATTAAAATAATCCACAATGATGTAAACAGATCGAAAAAAAAATTTTTTTTCTCAAAGTTGTTTTGCCAATCAATATTGCCTTAAAATCAACGTTCAAATCTTTATTAAACACCTTAGTTTAACTTGTCTATCGTGTTATATTTTGGGTTTTTAAACAAGTGCACTAAAATCATAACCTCAAAAAACACGGCCTATACAAACCAAATCGGTATGCAATACAGACTTTCATTAACATTTATCATACCTTCTATCATAATATTATCAGCTTACCCATTTCGGCCTTGTAACTTTTAAGCCTCCATAGATATAAATTTGATCGAAAGTGGTTCTAATAATGTTGATAATGATGAACAAATGATGGATATTGAATCTATTAACATAGAGAGAAAAAATAGCAATGATTTTAGTAAGTATTTGAATCATTAATATATGTATCACAACATTCTAACATGCGTACCTATAGTTGCATCCGAAGACATTCCCAAGGATATTGGGTTTGAAACATGGGAAGAAGTAGAGAGCTATTTTGACGAATATGGTGCCAGGAATGGATTTGCGACTGTTAAATATAGAATGGAGAGAAATAGCAAAGGCCAAATTCACAAAAGAACATCATCTGTGAATTTGGTGGTAAATATAAATCTAAAAAAAAATTGGAATCGGCGTTAAAAGGGACACAACGGAATACCAAAACAAAAAAATTAAGTTGCTCATGACATGTAAACTTATCATTTCCCGAACATGAAACAAAAATAATTGTCACAATGTTCATCAATCAACATAACCATGCGGTCCCCTAAAACCCAAGAATTTGCAACAAAGTATCGGTCATTTACTGATGAAGCACTTCATGAAATTTCGTTAATGACAAAACATGGGAATTTATCACTTATAGTACAAAGAAGTCTCTTAAAAGCGTGATTCCCGGATCTGCATTTCCAAGACCAGGATTTGGCAAATGCGATTCAAAAATATAAAAAATCTGACAAGATTAACAATGATGCATCTGCGCTGCTTACTTTATTAATGCAAAAAAAAGTTGAAGACTTACGTTGGGTCGTTGATTTCGAATTAGACCAAGATAATCGGTTAACTCGCCTTCTGTGGATGTCTCCCGACCAGGTTGACCTGTGGCTCAAATATCATGACGTCATCGTCAACGACAATACATCTCGTACAAATCAGTATCAGATACCATTGGGGTTTTTATAATAGTTGATAACAAATGCAAAACTCGTCTTGTTTGTCAGGTGTTAGTGAGTGATGAATCTCTTGATACACATATCTGGATACTCGAGTGTATCAGAAGAGCCATCAACCAAGCCCCAATTATTATGTTTACCGACGCAGACCCCGCGCTTGATGCTACCATTCCTATCGTTTTCTCTGAAACATATCCAGCCCACTGTATATTCCATATATCACAAAACTTACCTAAAAATCTGAAAGCCAAATTGGGTGAAAAATGGGAAAATTTTATCCAACAGTTCTATCACTGCCGTAACAGCTTATGTGAACCACTATTTAAGCAAAGATGGAACCAATTACTCACTGATTTTCCAATGACAAAGAATTATCTTTTACGTACTTTGGATCAAAAGTGTAAATCATGGGCTCGGGCTTATCTCCATAAAATCTTCACGGCTGGTATCGAAACCACCTCGAGAGTTGAAGGCTATAATTGGATCATAAAACAACAACTAAAGGCTAATAGTACCCTATGCGAGCTTGCAGATCATCTTGATTCGAGATTAATAGAAGAAGGGAGATGGAATCAGTTTTATGAATATAAGCAAGCCACTACGTTGAATACTACTTACACAGTTGGACAAGATTTGTTTCTAGCAATAACAAAAGTTCTTGATAAGTATCTTACTAAACCCATTAAAAATATGATTAGAGAAGAAATGTCTCAATGCTTATTTGTTAATGTGAATTTTTTTTTTTTTTTTTTTTTTTTTTTTACCTCCCTCCGCATCTCGAAGGTCCTTAGACATCTTCGGATCTCTCACATCTCTCAAAGGCCAGAGTTTTCGTATCTGCGGAGATCACCGGTATGGCGAATTGGCCACCTATGTGTCATCGTACTGGTGAGATAACTCATGCTCCATTAAGTACGTCATATGACGTCCCGGGTCCCTGGTGCTGCGGTGTAGGATCTACGTTCTCTAGATCTGCAGTTCTCTAACTTCACATAACCTACAAGCCAGATCGTCCTTTTATATCTGATATCTTTGATTCTATTAAGCTAGGTTTTTCTCAATTTTAGCATCATTTGTTGACGGATTACACCTTATCTGGTCGTCCCCGGCCCTGTGGCTATGCCGGCGGACTGCAACTTGTATGAATCTTGTTCTTCATTTTTTTTTTTTTTTTTTTTTTTTTTTTTAATGAAAAATCCTCCAAAGATTTTAGCTAATCGTGGTCCTAGCAGAGCCGTTTGTCACCCAGTAAACTCGAACTCGTGACCTTGCAATTGTGACCCGGGAGCGCTAACTACTACGCTATCGACCCACGGGTCTTAATGCGAATTTGATTGAGCCCAATTATGAAGAATTGAATCGTGAGCAGGTATGATGCATATGCGGTAAATAGGAGTGGAATTTAAGTCATCAAAGATTAGCGTGGGTTTAGACTTTAGTAAATAGGAATGGAATTTAAGTTGATTTGGTTAGAGTTAGGGTAAGGATTAGATTTCGGGTGTAGTAATTATGTTCCAATTTAAGTGGATTCAAAATCAACTTTAGTTTCATTCCCACTTACAATATAGTTACTATGATTTCAAATCAATTTTAGTTCCATTCCCATTTACAGCACATATAACATACTAAAATCTTGTTGTTGTAAAGGAAAATCTCCAGACAACATCAGAAGGATTCATTGAAGATCAAAACGATGCACGTTTTATGACTCTCCAGGCCATGATAGAAGAAGTAGGACAAGAGGAAGTGTCAGAAATATGAAAAGTCGTAGACATACGAAGTGAAAAAAATCATAAACATTACGTTATTGTCGTTAATACTATTTCTTTCCTGTGTTCTTGTCTCAAATCTATATCCAGAGGGATTATATGCCATCACTATTTTCGCGTTATTATGAATTCAAAAACTGCCGCATTTCATATTAGCATGATACCTCCACAATGGTACAAAGACATTCACCAAGATGTGTTAAATCTACAAGAGAGTATAGTATACAGTTGTGAAAAAAATAACGAACCTATGGATAAAGGTATCTTACCAACACGAAAGCCAGCCACAATCCCAGCAACTGTTCCTATGATTAAAAAGGCTGTTTATAAGAGAAATTTATACGGTCATGTTTGAGGATTAGCGCGAACAGCAACTTTACTTGCAGTTGAGCAAGACAATGACAAAATTACTACCTTCCTTCAAGACTATATTAGAAGAAAATTAAATGAATATACGCAAGAAAGGCCTGCAATTGACGAAAGCCCTGCAATTGATGAAAGACCTGTAATTCGCGAAAGACCTCTAGCTGCTATAAACGATAAAATACCCGATAATGCCTATGAAATAAATGAGTGTAACATTAATGCTGATTTAGAAAGTAATGAAATAGAGGAGGAAATAGAGGAAGAAATAGAACAAGAAAATGAGATCACTAATCTCAATAACGTGAAAAATCCGAACAAAGTTACTGGTAGAGGTCGACCACGCAAACGACGGTATTTGAGTAGTGTTAAAAAAGAACAAGGCCTTTGTGGAAAACCCAAAACTAGAGGTTCTTACAAATGTCACGTATGTCAACAAGTAGGACACAACGCCGCTTTTCATAAAAGTACGGGTAATAACTAACGAAGGTAGAACAGAACGGTAAATGTTGAGATCACATTATTTGTCTAAATAAAGTTATTTTGCATGCTAGGGTTGTTGCAAATCCGCATTTTCAGTGCTTGTATTTTTCATGTTTATTGCATTGAGACGTGTTCGATTTTACAGATTTTGGCCAAGTAAAAATTTAAATTTTTGAAGTAACTTCGCGAATCATGCGGTCTTTTTCTTCTTTACTTAATTAACTCTTGGCTGTCGGTGATAGTAATTGATTGCTCTTTATTAGCTTCTTTATCTTTAGCCAAAACTTTAACTATTCCGTTGTAACTTAGTGATCCTTTATAGGTGGTGAAATTTAAGTATATCGCACCCCCGGTGCGAGATTTAAGCATTACACAGGGGTGCGATATATAGATTTACCCAATAATATAATATAATTCGAAATAATGTGAAAAAAATGAAAAAATAAAGGTAAAGAGAAAATGATTTAAAAGTAATA